ATTCAGCGGCTGGAGGTGAGTGGCACTCCTTTGTTGTAACACATCAGTGAAGAAGGTGAGTTACTCGGTCCTGTGCCCCAGATGCTCGCAGTCTGGTGGGCCCAGTCTCGTGGTGCCCTGGCAAATCTTCCGGTTCAACCAGGAGATGGGGTATTCGGTGGGAACTTCAGTGGCATGCGCTGCATTTCCCCAGCCCGAGCACAGCTGCGTCCTTGCAGATATTTCCGAATCGCGAGGGCAAGCTCTGCATGCTGAGAGGAGCAGGGTCTGGTTTGCATTTGTTCTTGGTCAAAACAGGAAGTGCTCACCCCATTTTTCGAAATGTGTTAGCTTTTTTAAAAAGCAAATGCACTGTGGTGCACACAGTGATTCAACCCTGAGGAACACGTGGAAGCTGCTTCAAGTCTTTGTCTCAGCTTTTCCCCGGCTCCGTGTCCTCTTCGCTGGGCTGGATGTCGGCGCCTCTCTGGTGAGCCTTGTCCTGCAGGCTGGCGTGCGCGGTGGGCACGAGAGGCGGCCGTCGCTCCAGAACTTCCCCACGTGACCCAGTCATCCCACTGCATGGCTGCCGCTACCAGGGGTGCAGGACTCCACTGCAGGGAACCAGATGGAGCCTGGCGACCCCCACATCAGGCTGGGTTTGGAGACCTGAGTCCTAACTCCACCTTTTACTACTTGAAGGACCTCAGACAAACCTCTCTGAATTTCAGTTTGCTCCTCAATAAAATGAAGTTAATGACTATAAAAAGTGACTTGAAAAACAACACAACATACGATTGTGTTGTACAGTTTCCAGAGCACAGAGGGCTTCACATGGGCCCATTTGAGAGAGACCACAGGCGAGGGGAGGCTGAAGCTGGGCCCCGAGACACGCACGAGGCTTGTACCAGGGCGACCAGGGCGACCAGTGAGCGGGAGAGCGTGAGAACGCTGTAAGCTGAGGGGACGTCCACAGGTGCATTACTGGGAAGGCAGGTGCGCCCGTGGGGAGACGCTTTAATGCACCTATGAACAGGCATGTCAACTAGTTCCAAGTGCCTCGGAAAAGCCATGGTTGATCCACAAGCAGGGTGAGATGCTCCCATGGGCTCAGGACATCCTCGGTTTTAATGTTTGCCCACTTCATAGCTCCCATTTTCATACATCAACACGCCCGAACTGTACCGTGTGTCTGAATTTCAGTTCTTATCCATTGCTGAAGGTTTCATGCTGCTGTGCAATGATGCTGGCAGGCAGCTGCCGCAGGAAAAAGCAGCCAAGGCCCCCTCGGATAAAGGCCATTGTCCACCGTGGGTATCAAGGGTGTCTCAAAAGCCCCCAAGGTCTGGAGCTTTCCCATCTGCCTGCTGTCACAGGGGTGGGGAGGGAGGTGCCCAGGGGAGACAGAGGCCACCCCGGGTCCCACCCATCTCAAGGCGTCATGCTAAGATCCCCTCTCCTATCTTTTCCCCAGGCATTTAGTGACTTGGGACAGACATTAAGGATTTTGAGGCTGCTCAGATGCACCACCCCCTACCTCTGGCTCCTGGGAATGAGAGACACCCAGGCCAGTGTCCCCCATCCCAAGAGAAAGCTGCCTGCCATCCCAGGGCACCTCAAAACCAAGCAAAGATTCTCACCTGAACATTGACCAGCCTGCTCCTAAGGAAAACAGAACCACAGTGAGACGTTTTAAAACAGCTGTGGCTCTCTGGAGATAGAAATGCCCACCCACCTCCTTTAGACCCTGGGACCCTCCACATGGTGTCGGAGGGTGACGGCGCGTGGGCAGGCTTGGCAGCCACTCCCTGCAGCAGGTCTTTCCGGCTGTTTCTCTCGCCTCCCCACGGAAGGGGCAGCTTTCTCCTCCGTGGGACCACCGAGCCTTTGCCCCAGTGCAGCGCCGCTACAGCGCCGGCTGCTTTTGTTCCAGCGTGGCGTCCACCTGGGAAGCCCCCACCTTCATGGAGTTGCAGAGGGGAGGAATTCTCCAGCTTTGGACGTGAAAGGAGATATTAAGAAGCTCTAATCGGGCTTCAGGCGAAAGCTGCATCCTGCGAATTTGCCAGGGAGCCCGGTCCTTGGGGTGCTAGGTCTGAGTGAGCTCTAAGGACCCACGAGTGCCCGTCTGACTCAGGTGACGCTCCACCAGTCAGAGTCCTGGAGGAGGGGCAGGGTGACAGCATCCCGACCCCAGTCCCGGGATGCACTGCAGCTCCCGGCAAGCTAAATGATCACGTAACGTCCAAACCCAGGTTTCACGACACTTCAGAAAGAGAAAATCAGGACGATGAAGTGCACGGGCCCTGGCTGCACTCCAAAGTCCCGCTGTCCAAGTCGGTGGCACATTCGTCCTCTGGGACGACTGACTGAGGGGACCCCAACCTTGGTGCAAAACTGTGCAACAGTTCGTCAGCCGTCAGTGTAGACGTAAACATGGAATAAGAACTTTTTCGCTGCTGTATTTCGTAGAAGTCAGTGTTAATGATGATGATTTAAATGGTGGTCCACTGTGCTCAAAAATCAAAAGAATCAAGTTGACAAATGAAACAAAACATGACTACATCTATTATAAACCCAAATCCAACATCATCCCACTAGCTTCAAAACATCAATGTTTTCTTACCACATATCATTAATGCTAGTATGAATTCTGTTAGCGCTATAGTTTTAGCTGCACTTAACTTTAAATGCATTTTGATTTTATGATTGTTTTAAAAGCTATGGTTTAATATTTGTACATACGCAAATAAATTATATAAAAGTAAATTAGGTCACCACTATAACGTTCTGAAGATGATGATGCCCTAGATTATTTAAATTTGAGGGAAAAAATGGTCTATAATATTTTTCCACTTTACACAAACTCGCTAATCCTGAGAAATTCATCTGTTCAGGTACCAGAAACTGCTTTCTGTGGACGGTACAGATGAAAAACATTTTATTGTACAAGAAATTATCCCTGTCACCATCAGCCTTTGTGAGCCATGTGAAGGCAAGGACACAACTTTGGTCCAGAACCAAGTCTCTTTCAATAAATCAGAGGTTAGCCCGCCTCCCTCGACCAGCAAACTCCAATTATTTTTTAGGATCTCCCTGAAATATGAATCAAGACAAAGAACAAAAGCAAAAACCATCGAGCCACGTTGGAAGGAAAAATATGAGGTTCCCAAATGAACGTGTTACTTGGAAATACAAACCATCTCTTCTTAGCTTGGCTCTGTCAACCATCTCGGAAAAGGATGTTTTTACAATCAGAGCAGAAATATGACTGGCGGGCTCCTACATTTACATTTCTTTGTTGCAAAATGAATGCGACTTGTTCAGATTCCAGCAGAGGAGAAAGCAGCAGCAGTAGTGGTTACTTTCCAAAGTGAAACTTAAAACCACAATCTCCGGTGCACAAAAGGCAGAATGAGTCACAGGAAGAGGCCACTTGCTTGCAAAACTCATTAAAAGCAATGCAGGGCTAAATGGACTTCCTGCACCAATGAAAAGAGGCCTGGCACCAGGACAGGCACCTCGAGGCTCTGACGATTTGGGGGAGGAAGGGAGCCATTAGCAATCCGAGCACAGCCCAGGTCTGCTCCCTCACATGCACCCCACCCCCAAACACACACACCCCAGACTGCGAGGCCTGGAATCCCCTCCCCGCCTGGGCCGGCTCACATCGGAGGTCCCTGGGAAGGTGGCCCAGGCCCGCAGCTGTGTATTAAAGGATCACAACGACACCTTGTGACTCAAGTGAGCACCTGGATTGGGTTTCCAGGCTCCTTTTCAGCAGAGTGGCTGAAGCAACAGGATCTTTCCAGGGGCTTCCCTCCTGCGGCAGGTCTGTGTGAGCTCTAAGGCCAGATGAAGGTCAGCTGTGAGCTGCAGCCACACAAAAGAGGCTACCAGGGAGCAGGATCGGGGGCTCCCTTCTATCATCTAAAACGTGCTCCTGGGACTCAAGCGTGCATCAGAATCCAGACTGCTGGGCCCCACACCCGGTGTGGCTCCCAGGGTCTAGAAGGAGGGCCCAGGGGCTGCAAGGCCGGGAGGCCACACTTTGAGAACCACAGATCCATATGGTTTTCAGATCTGGACAAATAGCCACACACTGCTCCCTCTTCCAAGCCAGTCATTGGTGTTTGACCTCGGGCTGTGCCAGCTGGAAGCACTTTGGTACCAAAACTGTGGCCCCTTAAGGAACTCCCCCCTCGACCCACAAGTCCACTCCACAACCTGGCTGGCCTCCAGGCCCTGCACTGCAGGGACGGGGAACCTTTGTCAAAGCAGAGGCTTTTTTATTAAAGGCTGTGCTGCCAAACCCAAACCGATTGTGCCCCCAGGTGGCCATTTGGGCCTGTTGACATCCAGGGTCAGCTTCTGTCTGCTCAGAGGCTGGTTTCTTTCGGGCACCAAGCCCCCCGCCTGGCTTGCAAAAGAAGTGACACTGATCAACCCCTTTGATGCAGCAGGAGTTGAAAAAGGGGTCAGAGACAGAAAGGCGGAAAACCTACTGGCATTTTAACCACCTTCTCTTAGATTAAGGCAGGGGCGGGCACAGCGTGGCTCCCCGGGTCTGAAGATGTGCAGAGGGAGGCGGAGAGGTGAGGGGCGGGTCTGCTGAGTAGAGGTGAGGGGCGGGTCTGCTGAGCCTCCTGCTAGCAAGCACTCACTGGTCCTGCTAGGATGAGGAAATTGAGATTCAGGCAGCTTGCTTTGAACTCTTTAAATGGGGCCAACTTAGCTCTCCTCCTCGGCAGTTCTCCTGTTCTTGGACTGTACTAGGGCCACGTGCATTACCTTGTCTTGGAAAGGGCACTTGGAGGCCCAAAGCTGATGGCCCATGGCCCCGTCGTCAACGTTCCTCAGCCTCCAATGCAATAGTTGTGGGTGGCAGTGTTTGAAAACCAAGCTACAAAGCATTTTAAATAGTCAAGTGATTAAAGCCGTGACACTGGGGAGATCCCAGCCACCGAACTCGCCTCCCCTGCACACTCAAGGGCCACGACAGCAGGTGGGAGTCAACAGGCCACAGACCAGACGAATTTTTATTTTACAGATTAAAAAAGCCAACGCACTCAAGTCAGAGTTGGAACAAATCGACACAATGAAAGGGTTTGTTTTGTTAAGATGCACAAGCATTAATTCTACAGGCGCCCAGAGATGGACTGTTTGGATTTGGGCTTCGTGAGGAACTCAGGTGGGTATCTTTGACAGCTATGTTTTAAGGATTTAGGAACCAACACTCTTCCATTTATTCCAGAAACACTTAGGCTGCGCCTGTCGACAGTGTGCAAAATCAATAGGAATTATGACAGTTTTCAGCTTACATGATTGAGCTAGTCAAGGATTTTGATTGATTTGCTCAAAATAAAAAACAAATCTGGGGTAACCACAGAGGAGAAGTCGAGGGTCCAAAAAATGAGGACAGCAGATGTGAGGCAAGAATTGTTCAACCCCGATTCCTTCAGGGCCAGGCTCTGGGAGGCAGTTTCTGGACACCCTCGGACTGAAACCTCCCCGCTCAGAGATCACCCCTGCCAGGGCAGGGAAGAGCCCAGCGCACCCTTCTCCTCTCTTTGTCCATCTTTCCCTTCCCTTCCAAGTGCGTAGAGAGGGGTGGTATCTACCCACTCGAATCTAAAACATCAGAAAAGATGTTTTCTCAAAAGAGTGAACAGTTTATAGCTAGAAGGATTTTTTTTTTGAGAACATGCTTGATAACACACACGAGAAAATCAACAACTTAATAACTTATCAAAAACTACTTAAAATTCACATGCCTGATTTTCACAGAAGTCTTTCATCAGTCTCATTTATTATGGTATTTTCTAGCTTTGCTTCCACTACAACATAATGAAGCAGTACAGTGATTTTTATCATTGCACCAGCATATACAAATACAGATCAAACATTGTAAATAAAATATACTCAAAGTGGTGATCCAAACCTAAAACTGAAAAGGGAATTCACTTTCAAGGTGTAATCATTTTTCTCCAATGTACCAGGTATATTATTTTTCTCTATGCCAAGAATATATATTTTTCTTTACCACATATGATGAACGTCTGATGACTTGTCACTATGGTGTGATTCATTTCCAAAGGGCAACTGTGAAACATGTGGTCCAAATACAGCATTCTAGCAGGTGAACTCAGCATCACTGGGGTATAGCTGTGTACACGCAGGTAAACCAACTCACATATGCATGTGTGCAGCAGCCCACATACAAATCTCATTTTCAGATGCCAAAAGGCAGGTTAGTCAACATTATAGCCTTGCCATGACTCACTCGGAATCCGACCCAGATCTGAGAGCACGACTTTCTGGAAGGCAAGTCTCTGTTTCAGGGTGCAGTGATGTAGAAGTTTAAGATACATCAAAATGAGGGGTCCAAAACTGCATGCTCTCTCCCCTCCACCCGGAGAGCATGAGGCTCGTCCCGATGACAGGCGAATGGCACGAAGGAAGCGCCACCAACTCCCGCGGCCAAAGTTCCTCCCGGGTGCAAGGAAGAAACTGCGTGAACCTTTGTAGGCCCATGAGCTTATACTTAGTTCACAATAGCTAAGATTCACTCAAAAATACCCTCATGAAAGACAGAATTAATGTAGCCTCCAATGATTCTAGTGAACAAGCCCAGAGGAGTTATTACTAGTTAAGGCAGGGCTATTTTTATAATTATTTCTAATACTTCTGAAAGGGAATCTGCACAGCCATGTCTGTGATTCTATGTAAATCTGTGATCCAAGACACGTATGTTTGCCTTTCTCTGTGCGCCCACAGGAAGCGGTCGGCAAGGGCATCGCTGCCAGCAGAGGCCACCAACTACAAAGAAGGCAACAGCTCTGTGGATTTTCTTTCACAGAAAGAGTAAAATCTCATTCAACTGTTTCGGTTTTTTTGCCTCCTAGGACTCTAACAACGAACTTTAAATAGGAAAGTGCTTCAATCACCGGAGTAGAACATTCTTTAAAAAAATAAGACGTCAAGAAGTAAAGCAAAATCTTTTACCAAAATAATTCTTTCACTTTTCAAATCGTTTTCTCCACAAGCCAGTTCAATAAGCAAGTAAAAGAATCTTCCTCTATTGGCTTAAAAGACTGTCACACTCAAATCGCTGCTTTTTTTTTCACTTGCCCTTAATTCGAAGTGGAAAAAGTCAAGGAAAATAAATTGCTTATAAATGCCGAAGGAAGGTCAGTCTATGACATACACAGAATAAGGCTCTTTGGATAGTCTAACATACAATCCTTTTAATATATTAATGACAGCTGTATAGAAAGAATACGACTAAAATGTTTATAACAGTAATCTATTCAGAGTAAAGCAATAAATAATATCTACAAATAATATAATTTAACTTCTCGAAACTATTTTCTTAAAACCAAGGAGTTTCTTTTGAGACCTCGCAATAAAAGTGACATCATTGTCATTTGGCATAAGCTCGTTCAAGTCCCCGTCACCAGCACCACCTTGCTGGAGGAGAGGGAGCTGGCCGAGTGTTGAACTCATTCAAAATACTGCCTTAGGAATAGTCACTATCGGTTTAATTTTAAGGCATTGCAAAAGTTACCAAGAGCTAGACACAGCGCATTCTAAATAAAATGTCTGCCGCAGATGCATTAAGGCATAAAGATTCCAGCCTCGAGCCACAAAAAAAAAAAAAAAAAATGGGGAAAATATGCCACGTATATAGGCTACCTTTAGCCAAAGGAGTTAAAGAAGAATTTATCACCTAAAAATGAGACTAGTCAGCAAATACTGCAAGGGACCATCACAAGGCCAAGACCAAGGGACCAAACCCAGTGAGGTTTGGAATTCCCTTCTGAAACCTCGGATTCAGGTCTCGTGACCCTTGACGGCCCTCCCCGCCGCGTGCAGAAGCCGGCGGGGCGCACACTGCTACAGTGGGAACGTGCCCCCCACGCTGCCAAGAACCGTGCGCCCCTCCACTGACGCTGCCACCTGCAGGGACGGCCCCCCAACCCGGCTCCTCTGCTCGGGTTCTGCAGGCCTGGATTGCACGTGAACCGACAGCTAGTTGCCGGGGCGGGCCGGGACGCGGCGGCGTGACTGGCGTGGAGCCACAAGCGAGGACCGCCATCCACGCCGCGAACCGGCGACTCCTGGCCTAGCAAGCACACCCTTCGCGGTTCCCTTAGCAGTGTCGCCCCCGGTCGGGGCGGGGGAGAGATGCGCCTCAATGCCTTCTGCTCGGAAGCAAATGACCGCACGTCGGGCCGGCTGCGGCCGTGCGGCGCCCAGAACCTGTCCTTCCCCGGCGACGCCGCTGTCGAGAGACTTGCGCTGCCCGGCCGCTCTACGTGGAGGCGGAATGGGCGTCCGGGTTCTCAAAGGGCGGCAGCGGCTCTCTCCAAAAGGTGAAATTACTGAAGGTGTCCGCACAGGGGAAGTCTGAAGAATGGCTTCTTTTCAGCAGCGGGAAAACGTGGTCAACCACCTCACAGAGCCGCACGTACCTGCAAGGGAAACAGGCTCGTCACTGTCACCGAACGCCGGCCTGCTTAACTCGGCGGAGGCAGCCCTAGGTAGTGTCTTAATTCATCGGAAATCAGAGCCGGGAGTGAAGAGCGTGCAAAGGAGGGCCGGAGGGGGCTGCGTGCAAGGGGAAGGCGGGGCTCGACCTCACTTGGAGGACAGGGGAAGGGGGCAGAGGACGGACGGCAGGAGGAAGTCAGCGTGGCCAAGGGACAGCGCCTGCTGCAGGCGTCACATCTGGGGCCTCGGGGAGGGGAGAGTGGCAGACAGGGCACATCTCTGGGGCACCAGACAGAGACCACTTCATTGTACGCCGAGAGACGCTGGGCCCCGGGGTTAAGGAGACACAGATTTGACCGTCAGCTCTGCCATTTAATAGCTGTGTGATCTTGGGCCAATGACTTAACCTCTCTAGGCCACAATTTCCTCCACTGCAAAGGGAGGAAAATGAAAACTGTGCCACAAGGTTAATACGAGAATTAAATAAAATAATGCACACAACCATAAAATAATGTATACTGAATACTCAATACATGTATTTGACAACAAATTATTAACATGTCTTAGAAAAAAAATAAAAAAACCCTGGTTGTAATGAGGGTCCAGAGACGTAGAATCTACTCCTGTCTTACTTGCTGTGCAAACTTGGGCAAGTGTGTTGCCCTCTCTGGGCTCAGGTCCTTCATCGTTATAGTGTGTGGTGATGGACTAGAGCAGGGTTTCTCAATTCTCCCTACAACATTCTCCCACTCTATTATCTACACACTCCTGAGAATATGTTGCGTGTTAGTTTCTGTGGCCTGTACTCTAAAAGCTAAGCTGCTATATTGAATATGCACGTTCAGACTTCCAGGCACCTCCAAACGGAGACCCTGGCACACGCAGCTTTCTCTAGATTCCTTCTTGACCATCCCTGGGTCCCTCTCCAGTTCCAATTTGCTAAGAACTTAAAGGGGCTTTCAAAGCCCAAACTCCAGGAATTAGCATGTTCTGAGGCATAAAATAACTCACTAAATAAGGACAAGTGTGTGTATTTAATAAGGGACCTCCAAAGGACTTATGAGAAACAGCGTGCTTGCACAAAATGAGAAAAATGTCTTTTAATATAAAACCAAGAATTATGTCTTTCCTGGGGATTAAAACAAACAAACCAATTTTTAAAATACCTCCCGGCTTTAAGGCCCATTTATCTGCGGTTTGTGGCTGTGGCGGGAGGCAGCCGGCAGTTCCCTGCCAGGCCGCGGTGGCTGCTAGAACCAAACCCGCTCCCACGTGCCGTGAGCGGCGGGCCAGGCTCCGTCCGCACGGCTCCCTCGGAGTGGGCAGAGCTTGGCACGGACGCGCACGAACTCCAGGGACAGAGCTCTGAGCGCCTCCCCCTGCCTGCACAGCCCCTCCATCTGAAGACATTTCAGACAACTGTCCTGGGTTCTGAGTGACAAGCACCTACTGGGCTTAGAAATAGTTGTACCAGCCGGGCACGGTGGCTCACGCCTGTCATCCTAGCACTCTGGGAGGCCGAGGCGGGCAGATCCCTCAAGGTCAGGAGTTTGAAACCACCCTGAGCAAGAGCGACACCCCGTCTCTACTAGAAATAGAAAGAAATTAGCCGGACAACTAAAAATATATAGAAAAAATTAGCCGGGCATGGTGGCGCATGCCTGTAGACCCAGCTACTCGGGAGGCTGAGGCAGGAGGATCGCTTGAGCCCAGGAGTTGGAGGTTGCTGGGAGCTAGGCTGATGCCACGGCACTCTAGCCCGGGCGACAGAGTGAGACTCTGTCTCAAAAAAAAAAAAAGAAAAGAAATAGTTGTACCAAGTTCAGAGTCAGAGCAATGTGTGCTTCCCGGGGGAGGAGAGTTTCTCTCTCGCAGGAACAAACCCAGCCCCAGTCCAGGTGTAAGGTGACAATATTCTTTGGCAACATGCAGATGTGCTGCCAGGCGGAGGTCTGCCCTGGAACCCCGGGGCCTCTGCAAACAGTGACCTAGAGGCCTCTTAGGCAAGGCCTCTTAGGTGCTGGAACCCTCTTTCCACCTAAGTCGTGGCAAGACCTCCCACTTCGCCACTCTGGGCAGTGTCCCATTGGTTGAAAGGCCTTTTTGACCCTAAAAAGAAATCCACTGGATGCTCTTCAGAGTAAGGACAGCCTTGCACATGGGAACGCACCGCACGGAAACGAGGGAGGCGGGAGAACGAGGACAGCGTCGGGCGGCCGTGCAGAACAGGGAGGAGGCAGAAACTGCAAGGAAAGGGCCAGAGAGGGAAGGGAGTCCTGCTGCTTTCCTGCCGGTCAGGACCCGGCCTGACCCTGACTCGCCTCCCGCAGGACGGCGGGATGGTCCCCGTCTCTCCCCACACACCTTGAGGACCACTGGGCCGCTGGCAGGGCTGTGGGGTGAGGAGGCTTGTGGGGCAGCCCCGGGCTCCCATCAGCCCACAGCTGCCCTACGCATGCTGGCTGAGAATCTCACTGGATAAGCCTCATCTTGAAAATGAAAATATTCCCCGGAGGAACTTAGATCTCTAATCTGTCTAAAACCACAGGAGGTTCCTGGAGGAGACCAAGCCTCAGGAACCCACTAGATCCAAACTCCCCCAGGCTAACTCCTCCAGCTAAACAGGATCCTATCAGGCTCCCTGGGGTCACTCAGGCCCAGCGACTCGTTCCAGGCCTTCACAGACCAGGCCGGAAGAACTGCAGCCCCCGAAATGGACGAGGCAAAGAGACAACAGTCCGCCTGGGCTGACGTCGTCACCCAGTGCCAAGCCACCCAGCACGTGGAATGAGGAAGTGCTCTCCATGCTAGGACGTTGGGCACCCAAAGTAGGACGTGATGAAGTAAAGAGTGGGTCTACAGCAACCCAGGATGCCTTGTTAAAAAGCAATAATCCAGTGTTGCCACTGACTCAGGAACACTGGGCTCTGACCAAAAAAAATGAGGGGGAATTCGTAACAATTACACAGCAACGTTTCTGGTAAAAAACACTCAGTATGTGAAGAGATATATATTCCTCATCTTTAAATATAGCTTCACATGTTTCAACTTGGTTACATTTCTAATTCACATTCTAGGCTTTCAAACCTAACTTGGCAAATCTAAACTATGAGTTTTCGAATTCATTCCATTCCATTCTGTAGCAGCATCTAACCACTACTTTAAATTTTAAACCCAGCGGGGATCTGATTTAATTCCAATTCTCTAAAAATTAAGTTCTGGACAAAATACAAGGAGTTAAATAAAATATATTTTTCCTTATAGGAACCAAAGATTAAACAGCAGAAGATTAAAAAAATGGTATATTGTAAACTGTAAAGCACCATTTCAAGGTAGCACATAAAATGTGCACAATACTCACGATGAGATGTTGGTCTTAGCATGTTCTTGCACTAGTTCTCCTTTAGGGTTGACGGTAAATATTCTATTCAAAGACACTCCTACTTGCTTGTATGAATACACATCCTGTATTTGGTAAAGATGATTTAAAGTTTTAATTAGAAAGAAGAGTTAATTGTAAAAACAAGTACATGATATTTCTGATTCGATGTAATATTATCAAATTTCCATGAACCAGAGCTACACCCCAAAGTAGCATAGCGAAAGAGTATCCTTGGCTGGGAACTACTCAATGAGCTTTCCTCTCCGGGCCTCAGTTCCCTCATCTGTTCAGGGACTGGGTTAAGGAGTAGGCAACCTACCCAGTCCCCTGCAATTCTAACATTCCTTTAGGTTATTCTCGGACCCATTTTCCCATATAATGAAAATCTGCCATGACTTTCAAAAGCAGGAGGATTTTCTGAGTGAGCAGTTAGTACCCAACTATATTCTCTGGGATACCGAACTTTCCAGTAAATTTGGGCAGTGCCTGCAAAATCTCAAAGCATTTCTTCCACCATACAAGACAATGCTGTAATCTTAAAACTTGAAAGGCAATATTTCTACCCCCATAATATGATGAAATAAAAGGAGGGAAAAAAAACCTGAGAGGCTAAATTCCCTGCCATGGTTAGGACTGGCTTTGTGGTTCCCTTCTGGTAGCAAGGATCCAATCCTATGAAGTGTTCTTGTTTTACTCATTTAACAAGTCATGTGGAGTTTGGAGTTTCAATTCCCACATTTCAAGCTTCCTCCCACTGGCCAACCCCCAAAGGACAGCAGAGGCTACAAAATAACTTTCAGTCTCCTTGTCTTTAGCTGTGAGCAAGTGGCCATTTACCAGACTACTCCTCGCAGGACAAGCATCTGGCTTTCCATGCAGTTCTAGGCCAGGGCTTTCAGAAAAGGCAGTGACTTCACCTATATTCCCAACCTACTACTTACAGCTGGTCGGTTTCCAAAAGCAGCATAAAAGGGCTCCGTATTTGGGAAAAACAGGTTCTTGATGTCTGTCAAACACTGGACTTTAAACTTTTCCGGTTTCTTTTCAATCACTTCTCTGTTAAAACAAATAAATTACAGATTAGCACGATAAGCTTCATTAGCACCAGATTATTTTTAACTGTCAAAGCTGCGTGACACCAAGAACACTTCCATATCTTCAAAAGTTAAATACGCTGAGGTCAGGTGAGCCCTCCCAGAAAAGCTCTAGACACAGAGAGTCTGTACTTGCAGGTTTCCCCACAAAGACAGCACACTAAGGACAAATCATTTCACCAGAGTTCTGCCAGTCCCCCACGGAGCCAAGAGGGAACATCTCCAAACTCACTTTACGAGGCTAGCGTAACCTCAAAAATAGAACCTAAAGAAGAAAAGTAGGAGCCAAGTGTGGCCAATCTCATTTGTGAATATAAGTGCAAAAATTCTAAATATATACACATATGCAAACTGCAGCAATGTGTAAAAGCTGGGTTTTTATTCCAGGAATGCAAGAGTAACTTCATATTTTAAGTCAATTAATGTAATATAACACATTATCAGTTTAAAAGAAAAAAAAAAGACCAAGATCATCTCAATAGATACAAAAAGGGTATTTGATACAATTCAACATCCAATCAGGATGAAAACTCTTACAGCATGAATAGAAGTGAACACTCAAAAACCCAGAGTAAACATCCTATGAACAGTGAAACAACAGTGGTTTCTCTCATTGTTCCAATTCCACACTGCACTTGCTGGTCCAAGCCAATGAAATCAAGTAAGAAAAACATATAAAAGTTGTAAGGATTAGAAAAAAAGGATTATGGGAGAAATAGTCATTATTCACACACACAAAAAAAACTATCCACATTAAAAAAAAAAGAACCTGTAGATAAGTTATCAGAATTAATAAGAATTTAATAAGGTTAATAAGTCAATGTATAAAAAAATATATCAATGTACAAGAATCAATTGCATTTTCATGTATCAAAAACAGAAAAGGTAATGGTGTTAATACTATTTTTAAATAGAATTTTACAGTAACAAATGTCTAGGAATAAACCCAACAGAAGATGTGACAGACCTTTATGGCTAAAATTATATAACTTTATTGAAATATATTAGGGAAGACCTAGATAAATGAAGAAAAAGAATATTCTTGAATTGGAAGATTTGTTATTATCTTGAGATGTTTATTCTCCCTAAATGGATCTGCAAATTTAAGCAAACTCACAACAGATTTTTGCACGTTTTTGCGGAAGCTGACTCTAACCGGGACACTCCTGACAGGAAGACAAAGAGCCCGAAGCTCGGGTAGCTGAGCCACCACGGTGCTGGCCACTTTGTCTAGCCCTTTGCCCGGGGAACAAAACAGCCCAGAAACAGAACCACACGCTTGATTTACAACCATCATGATGTCTCAAAGCAGCAAGACAAGGACCGTCTTTTCAGTCAATGGTGCTAGGACACATAATGTCCATATAGGAAAAACACAGAATTAATGTGGAGCCCGACTTCACTCTACCTGAAAACATCGATTCCTGGTAGATTATATAATAGACCTAGATGTGAATGGCAACACCTTCAGATAAAATACAGGACACTGTCTTTATGCCCACAGGTCAGGGAAGACTTTGTTAAGGCACAAAAAGCACAAACTACAGAGGAAATGATTTGTTCAACTACATGAAACTAAATTTATGGTCATCAAAAGCTATAAGCTTAGAAAAAGTATTTACAGCACTCATAACAAAGGCTAAGTATACAGAATATACGACACGCTCTTCCAGATCTAAAAGAAAATGGGGGGAAAGACTTGAACAGGCAATAATGGCCAATAAACATATGGAAAGAGGCATTTCACACCCATTGGACTAGCAAAAATGTGAAACTCTCACATGTTGGGAAAAAAGTAAACGGAACACTTATAAACTGTGGCTGGGTGCACAAACCGGTTCAACGACTGGAAAACAGTTTGGAGCGGCCTATTAATAATGAAGCTGAGCATGTGCATACCCCACTGGCCCAGCAATTCCACTCCCAAGGAATCGCCTTAGAGCAACTGCTGCACTTGTGCCCTAGACAACACCAGCAGGAAGTGCTGCCTTTAAGAGCAACACACTGTGAATGGCTCGAGCATTCATTAACAGTAGAATGGATAAACTGGGGTAGAGTCACACAGCCAGATACTGCCCCAAAACAAAGATGAGTGAATTACAGCCACACCCAACAATCTGGGCAACTTCCAGAGTGAGCGGAAAAAGCAAGCCCCAGAAGAAAACAAGATCCCATCTTACACAAAGTTCACAAGTGCGCACAATTAAACATACGGGCTGAGACTGCAAACGTGTGATGACTATTAAGAAAAAGTGTGATGACTATTAAGAAAAGCAAGGAACGAAGGGAATACCTCTAACCCTTCCTAGGGAGCGGCAAAGATATAAAATGTAACCAAAAGGTCAAAACAAACAAACAAAAAAACCACCTGGGGTTTGGACATGCTTGATGTTTTGGCACGGCGGGGGGCGGGGGGAGGAATGGCAGGGGCAATATATGGAACCCTAACAGTATTTGTACCCCCATAATATGACAAATAAAAGGAAAAGCAACGAACGATTAACACGGAATTCAGGGACGGTGGTCACTCCGGGGGGTGGGGAGTGAGCACAGCAGGGACTTCAGATGTGACGGTGAGTCCGTGTTGCTCTAACCGGGTGGCAGGAACCCTGGTGCCCACTGCTGCATTAGCCTGTATACCCTGCATAGACTTCACAGATACTCTTCTGTACCTACTCAGAAGTATCATTTAGATGATGATGATGACGATGGAGCACCAAACTGAGTGTCAGACCCAAGGGTTGGTCCTGGCTCTGCACTGCCTTCTGTGGGTTCCAGGGTCCCCAGTGACACTAACTGACGGCCTTGCATTCTACGTCTCAGTACTTTATAGACGGATACGTGAATGACTGCATGATGTGTCTCACACTTCCGTCCACTGGGGGAAACCACCCCAATTCAACTTCCACCTTCAATCTTTCAATCTCTCTCTTTCTTCTCTCTCTGTCTCTCTTTCTCTCTCACACAGTCTTTGAAGGATGTCCACATGTATACTTACAGGGGTAAGAAATGACCTCCTTGCCCAATGCCACCCAACGCTCTGAAGGTGCGTGCCTCCTTGCTGGGAAGCGTGGGCAGCCAGAGAGCAAGTAGTGAGGGCTGCTGAGAACTGCTCTGGTGACCTGTATACACTGTGCCTGTGCAAATCCTCTCTCTCTCTCTCTGATGATCTGAATTTGCAAACAGTTACTAGTCACTCACCTCACCCTAGAAGTAATTTTACTCCAGCAAACAAGTGTCATTTGTCCAATTTTCACAGCAACTCAGGAACCCCAAAGAACACGGCAAGGTTACTTGTAGAATAATTCCTTCTTTCCCAGAGCTAGAGGCAGCCTCCGTCGTTGCCTACCTCACTCCGGCAGTCCAACTCTGCCCAGCAACCCGGAGGCAAGGGAATTAGCAAAGGCTGTGTGTGTGTCCGGCCTCACCCCCCAGCCCAGCTCACCAGCAGGGCACCCCGCAGCAGACTGGAGCCGGACTTACTAAGAAAGCACATCGTACTGAGAGAGGGTTCATGACAACGATCTGAGTAGCTCTGTCTCCACAGCCAAACAGGGTGGGGAATACAAGAATCACATGACTCAACTCCAATTTCTACCTGAACAGGAGCAGCCGGCTCCTCCTGAACCGGGAGCAGGTGTGTGAAACGGATCCCCTCAACTCCTCCTTTCAGACGTATTTCCTAGAATAGGACCCTCAAGACCATCGGATCCAACCTCCTCGTTTGGCAGTCGAGGACAGAGCCTCAGAGAGGAGGGGCACCGACTCTCTGGTCACGAGCGGGCTCGGTAGCCGCCAGGCAGCACCAGAGCTCAGGCGCCCGTTCCCACTTCAGGGCTCCCTGCCCTCCCATGCTGAGAGCTTATTTTTGCCGACTGTGCGACATGCACATACCCACCCACTCTACCTCCCTTTTCCTTCGTTTTAATTTAAACCCAGGCAGCATAGCCAGACCTGCACCCAGTTAAAGAGTCTTGCTAGGGAAGGTCATCCGTGCTCACGGCCCGCTTAGCCATTAATTCTAGAGAGTCCGCAGGGCCGCCCACACACAGATGGCCTTGCCTTGGCGGTAGCTGCGGAAAGGGCCGGGCTGGTGGCTACATGCCACAGAAGCACCTCCATCTCCCAAGAGGACACACAAATTATGAGGTTTCGTTTTTTTAAAAAAAAATTCCTCATAGGCAAAAAGTAACATATCTTGGACAATGATCTTTAAACAAGGAAATGAAAAGGATCGCTTTAAGCTTATTTTTAGTGGTAGGATGTCAGAGTAATGACATCAACTTTTTACTTAGCCTAGGCAAGGCCTTAGTACCTACTGAGTAGCCTATTGCAGATCGTCACTATGGCTTACAGTCACAGTTCCATTAAACTATCAGGACTTCTACTGCGATCTATGTTGCCATGAAAGCTCTTAGGACTTGAAATACACTAGGTTTTGCCTGAATTTTCTCCCTAGAATGTGCAAGTTTCAATTCAAGATCTTTTACTACAGGAAAAAAAGTACTGCTCACTCAAAGTACTGCTCACTCAGTACTGCTGTGATGGGAAAGGTATCCATACAGCTAAAGAGAAACACTCAAGAATCAACACGGCATCTGGGGTTCCTCTAGATTTTTCCAGTTTGCACGGTTAGCAGCCGCAAGCAGCTAATCTGGTCCCCAGATGCAGGCAAAATGATGCCACAGCCTCTCCTCAGGTCTCAAAGGACCAAGCATGGGACAGTTAGTTGCCACCAGCATTTAGCAGGGACCAGCGCCCCCCTGTGGCGCGCTGCGGCGGGTAGTAGGAGTGGGTTGGCGCCAGGCGGACTGCCTGCGCAGTGAGGGTGGGGCAAGGAATGAGGGGCGGAGACCCCGGGGTGGCTGTGTCGTTTTGAGATGGCTGGAGCACGCAGGAAGCTCAAAGGTGACGACGCGTCTGCCGGGGTGGCCGCCAAGCGGCGAGAGCCCGCCCTGGAGACTGGGGCA